GAAGGCAGTCGCTTAACCAACTGAGCCACCCAGGTGCCCATGTTGAAGTTTTAAATAGTGTTTGTCACTCAGTCTCAGCCCCAGAGGCAGCTGCACCGCATGGGAACGGAGAGCAGACAGAATGCGGGGTGGCGGGAATTGTGGTGGGCGTCTGAGCAGGAGGGCTGTAGGGACACATGCCGCCCACTGGGGAGGGGAGAGGGGCAGAGAAGAGGACAGGAGTGGGGTCCCCGGGGCGTATGAAGCAGGGCAGGTGAAGGCAGGGTAGGACAGGGGTAGGAAGAGAGGAGGCAGGACATGCCGTGTGTGCTCGGGCTCGGAACCCCCTGTACTGTGGGGTGGCGCTCAGTCACCGTCCTGGCTTCATGCAGCTGTTCCCAGCAGTGGCCGGTGAGAAACACTCCCTCTTTGCTCCCCGTCTCTCCGAGTGGCCCGTCTCTGGCAGTGGCTCCTCGGTGGAAAGGGTCATTTCTTGTCCGTTTGAATATTGAAAACCCTCTTCACCGTTCTCTGCTCCTCGAGGTCCCGTCCTGCCCGGGCTCTCCCTGCTTTATTCCCTCTCTTCTTCCTCGGTCTCGGTTAGGGCTCACCTGCGCCCGTCGCCCCAGTGTGGCTGTGCATCAGGCCCTGGCTCGATGGGGTTTCTGGCGCACTCTGCTCCCCTGAGCTCCAGTCCTGAGTGCTCCCACAGGTGCCCACCTGCTGTTCATCCCGTGCCAGCCTGGGGTCGGGAAGGGAGGTGTTCGTGGGGGGTGGGCAGGGGCAGCAGAGGGCACGCAGGGCTGAGAGCCCGGGTCTGGGGGCCCTTGGTGCATGGGGATGCGTTCACGGACGGTGCCTGTCTTGCAGGTTGCCGGGGACCTCGTGAGGCGTCTACACTTGGAGGGCCATGTGGACAAACTGGTGGCCACCTACAGTGGGGGTACCAAGCGGAAGCTCTCTACGGCCCTGGCCCTGCTGGGCAAACCTGACCTGCTCTTGTTGGTGAGTAGCTGAGAGATCAGTGCTCTCTGGGCATCTTCAAACAAGATGCCCCTCCGGGGAGGAAATTCAGATCTGTAGTGTGGGTTCTCTGAACTAATAAACATTTTGCCCTAAGACAGTATTTCCCAAACAGAATCTAAAAAAGCATTGGAATTTAACAGAAATAAAAAAGATTATCTTTTGATAGAGTCCCTGTTATCTATTTCATTGAGGACTCAATAAAAATTTACCATTAACAGCTGTATTTTAGAATAACACCAGGATCCACCTATAATCTGAAAACCGATATATATTTGACTCCTAGCATATTGTTTCACAGAGAAGTGATTGTCACAGCTGCGGTGACATGAGCCCATGGTGAGTCCCGACAGGGGTGTCAGGTGCAGGACGGATGTGGCGGGGAGAGTGGGTTGTTCAGCGGGAAGTGGGGCTTAGATGCAGTGGCTTTGAGACAGGCTGTCTGGGGCGCCTGGGTGGCTCATTCGTTAAGCGTCTGCCTTCGGCTCAGGTCATGATCCCAGGGTCCTGGGATCGAGTCCCACATCGGGTTCCCTGCTCGGCAGGAAGCCTGCTTCTCCCTCTCCCACTCCCCCTGCTTGTGTTCCCTCTCTCGCTGTGTCTCTGTCAAATAAATAAATAAAATCTTAAAAAAAAAAAAAGAGGGGCGCCTGGGTGGCTCAGTCGTTAAGCGTCTGCCTTCGGCTCAGGTCATGATCCCAGGGTCCTGGGATCGAGTCCCACATCGGGTTCCCTGCTCGGCAGAAGCCTGCTTCTCCCTCTCCTACTCCCCCGCTTGTGTTCCCTCTCTCGCTGTGTCTCTCTCTGTCAAATAAATAAATAAAATCTTTAAAAAAAAAAAAAAAAAGAGACAGGCTGTCTGTAATCCATCTGGGAGCTGGCGTTGATCCAGTGTGACCGGATGAAAGCATGAACTGGTGGTGGGGGATCAAGAGATAGAGCCAACTGTCTTGCATTTCTAAAGTAGCTCAAAGTCATATCCCTCAAGTAATATGCAAAAGGCACGATTTGGATGCCATAGACGGGATACGAATCACTGGGGTGCATCCCACAGCTTCCCACGTGTACGGAGTCAGAGGGGCAGCAAAACGTGTGGGAAACAAATTATTTTCTTCTTTCTGTTACTGTTCATTAAATGGAAACAGTGTTTTTTGTTTTTTAAAGATTTTTATTTATTTGTCAGAGAGAGAGAGCATAAGCAGGGGGAGCAGCATAGGGAGAGGGAGAAGCAAGCTCCTCACTGAGCAAGGAGCCCGACGTGGGACTCGATCCCAGGACCCTGGGATCATGACCTGAGCCGAAGGCAGATGCTTAATGACTGAGCCACCCAGGCGTCCCTGGAAACAGTGTTTTAAAGGGGATTCAAGAAGCCTGCGTTGGACGAGTGGCCCTTCATTATTTAATGGGGTGTCTTCTGGACTCACAGTTGATTTTCCTTTATTTGCTTTAAGTGTGCTGCTTTGCATGGTCCCCAAGTCAAGGACGTTGCAGCATGCCATCATTTGACATCCGGGAGTGACTACGAACATTTGCCCCGTTCTGCAGGTTGTAAACTAGGTTTTCCGTACAAGAGGAGGCCCACATCGAAGAGCTCACTAGGCATGATGTCTGTTACCTTCTGTAGAACTTTCCCCATGCTCATCCTCACCCAGCACGTGTCTTGCATCAGGACGGGGACACCGCCCTGGAGCGTGTCCCCCACCTTCTTTATGCAGCCTTGCTCTCGGCTCCCTTGGTGGCCCTAGACTCTGGCTTAGCGGTCAGACCTGAGTCAGCTGCCAGGGGCCAGATTCTGCTTCTAGAAACACCTCCCTGCACACACTCAGCCTGGCATGTTGAACCCATGTCTCCTCCTCATCTGCAAGTGGCCGTGATACAGTCCTGTGTATTGGGTCCCTTGAAATCAGGCCACGGAATGATGCCGATAAAGCGCGTGGCACCCGGTGGGCTTTAGTGATCGTGATGGTGGGGACGTGTTCAGAGCATCTGGTTCAAGACATGCCTTGCAGGGCCTTCCAAGTTCTCTCCCGAGGAAAGACAAGTGGCTCCGGCGTCTGACAGCAGCGTGGGGTCAGGAAAATGTAGAGCTATGCCCATCAGCTTTCTCGCTGAGCAATGCATGACCACCGCTGCTTTGCTTATTCTTCTAACTATACATATGTATCACCCGGCTTGCAGAAAACCGCAGGTGTTTGTTTTCCTGCTCAGTGCCATTTTTTTGGTCCACTTTCCGTCTGTTTTTCTTTTAGGGGAGTTGATGACCCTAAGCTCTTAAGAAAAATGTGTTTAGTACTCCCTGACTGCAAAAAGCCCAGAAATGCATCATGAAGTCCAGAACCATTTCTCTCAAAAGTGGTTCAGTAAGTGCTTTGGTGTTTATTGAAGGAGAAAGCTCCGGGTTCCAAAAATCCCACTTTACTTGATGGTGCTACATAAGGGAAGCTTTCTTCTGCTCTTGCCTGTCTGTCTGCGGTGGATCATTCGGAAGCTCTGCGGAGGTGGACGGTGCGGCAAGGTGGGCCGTCCTCTTCGACTACCAGCTGTTGTGAAGACGCGATGCCCGTAGAGACAACGCGGGGTCCACCCGCCCCCCCCTCCCTGGCCAGGCCTGGCCTCGTGCAGCCTGCGTGTCCCAGCGTGCACCCCCAACACCCATCATCGTATGCTCTCTCCTTCAGGACGAGCCCAGCTCCGGGATGGACCCCTGCTCCAAGCGCTACCTGTGGACTACGATAATGCAGGAGGCTCGGGGAGGCTGTGCGGTGGTGCTGACCTCCCACAGGTGAGCCACAGCCCTCGCGGCCGGTCCGGGGGCCGGGGGGCGGGGGCATGGCTGGGGGGCTGGCAGGAGTCGGGGAGCGGCCGGGGCCCTGCGTTGGGGCAGCACGTTGCTATGGGGATGTAGCCGTGAGCCCCCTGCACAGGCTAGGACCCTGAAGCAGAGACGGGTCAGGTAACGTAACCGAGGGACACAGGCTGCAGGTGGCAGAGCTAGAGTCTGAGCCCAGTGGTCTGTTGCAGGCACACGCTTGCCCGTCGGTCGTTCCTCTGGAGCTCGACGTCCTCCCCCGGTCCTGGGACCAGGTGTTTGTGCCTTTCTGCCCTAGATCTTTTTTTTTTTTTAAGATTTATTTATTTTATTTGAGAGAAAAAGAGAGCACGAGCATGTGGGCCAGGGGAGGGGTAGAGGGAGAGTGAGAAGCAAGCTCCCCACTGAGCAAAGGATCCCCGAGATCCCCGAGGTCATGGCCTGAGCCAAGTCAGTCTCCCAACCGACTGAGCCACCCAGGTGCACCCAAAAGTGTGGTCTTTTGTATCTGACTTCTTTCCCTTGCTGTGTCCTTGAGGCTCCTCCGTGTTGTGGCATGTCAGCCATGTGCTGGTTTTCAGTGCGGAATGGTGTTCTGTCATGTAGCCAGACCATATTTTGTCCATTCTTCCCTGATCGATATGGGATTGCTTCCCGTATAATGTGCTGTGAACAGTCATATGAATGTCTTTGTGTGGACGTATGTTTTCATTTGTCTCAGATGGTTTTTAGGAGCCAAATTGCTGGGTTGTGTGGTAAGTTTGTGTTGAATGCTTTAAGACACAGTAGAGCTTTTGCTTTCCAACACAGCTTCATCATTTTATGTTCCCAGGACCAAAGATGAAGTTCCTAGTTTCTGCAGACTCTTGTCAACGCTCTGTCTTTCTGATTGTAGCCATCCTGGTTAAGTGTGATTTTTATTCACATAGCCCAGATGAATGTGTCATCCCTGTCTTCTCTGCCACGTTCTTTCTTATATGAAGCCGGCCAGTGCTAATTCTGCTGTTGCCCCATACATCATGGGTCATTTCTGTCTTGCAGCTCGCAGGATTCTCCTTTGACTTTCACGTTTCACAGTTAAACTTCGATGTGCCCAGAGGTGGATCTCTGTTTATCCTACCTTGGGTTCATTGTGCTTCTTGAATGCATAGGTTAATGTTTTTTCAGTAAACACGGGGACATTTTGGCAGTTACTTATTCCAGTGTTTTTTTTCTGGATCTTTCTGTCTTTCCTTTCCTTTTTTTTTTTAAAGATTTTATTTATTTATTTGAGAGAGAGAGAATGAGAGACAGAGAGCATGAGAGGGAGGAGGGTCAGAGGGAGAAGCA